CTCCTCCACCTCTTCCTCCTCCTCCTCCTCCTCCTCCTCCTCCTCCTCCTCAGCCTCGAGGTCGACATCGACGCCCGTGCAGCCTCCAGCAGGCAGCAACGGAGTCGCGGCCGCCGCGGCCGCCAACAGAGCTCGTCCCTCGGAGGACTACTTGGAGCAATTCATGCGAGTCGACCAAACGCAGAACATCCTCTGGCGTCAGTTGGCCGACCGGTTTCAGCGCAGTCTGGCGCCCAACCAATGCGGCGTGTGTAGCAAAGTTCTCAGCTGTAGGAGTGCCCTGACGATGCACTATCGAGTGCACACAGGTTAGTTGGTCGTCAGGATGAAACCGACCACCAGTACCACCTTGCCAGTACGAGGCAAACAAACAAGTTGAATTTTCCACACAACTACATCAGTATAACTCACGTTGCCATGTCACACTACCATAGTGAGATGGTCGATAAAGTAAACTTGTTTCAAAACCATCTTGAATAAGAACAACATTCACCATAGGTTGCATACGGTAAAGGACCGATTGCCGAATTTTCCAGCCAATTTTTCTTTTACAGGTAGGTTTTGGAGACTACCAGTAGATTATGTATATGAGATGTATTCACCCTATTTCGTTTGAGGTGATAAGAGGACTGGTAGTTAAATTTTCCCATACAATGATATGAATAAACATTAGGTTTTCATTGAATTTCACATAAACTTGCTTTCCCAAAAGGTGTTCTCATCAAGGCCAGACTGCATTTTCCACCTCGTCTACAGTCCATCATGGATGAGAATACCTTACGTGTAAGTAATGCAATGGAAACGCAAGGTCTACTCATATCATTGTGGGTAAATTCATCTACCAATCCTAGAATGACTAATACTTTTATTCAAGATTAATCGATAAGCCGAATATAGGCCAGGACTCTCCCAATTAATTGGTAATGTAGGATTAGCTATTGTTTTTACCTATTGTTAGTTGTTATCACTAAATTCGTAGGAGGACATACAAACCAAAAATGAGGTGACCTCATTTTAGCAACTTTACCCTGTTGGCATAACAACCCAGATGAATGCACCCTGTCATACATGTCATGATGTTTTCCGCCCTTGTTACTTTTCCAGGTAAGCATTATCATTTTAGCAACAGATTACTACTCGTCAAAGAGACAAGTGATGTCCATGCCTTGAGCAACTTTAAGCTAAAGGATTAAACCTTTATTGACCCTTTGACAACGTTTATTTTGGTGCCAAATCTGGCTGGGACTGGTAGTTGAAAATTCTCAAATGATACTTTAACCCAAGCTTTATTACAAGTGAAATTTACCGGCAACGTTAGGCTCACACACATATTGTAGAAAAAGTTGGTTTCGAAAAATTGTTTAGTCGTGACAACATTCCGTTTCGACAGAAAAATTGGTTGGAAGGATTTCGAGAAATGATCACATTGGCAACTGAAGGAGAATTTCCACGTATTGAAGACTGTTGGGCTGTGAGGAGAAGTCCTCGGCTCCCAGTCCTGTGATTTGGACAGACCTGTGCAAAAATTCTGGCTGTACCAGAGCAGACTTCGTCAGAAGAAGAAACCGGATTTCACTAAAACACACACAAAATCATGGAATACCTCAGTAGAATCGTAGAATTAGGTACAAGAGGTGAATATGATTACAATATTCCACCCTTAATTTCTTGGCTTATTGTATTTGATACGTTTTATCGTAAAGTATGGATTCTTGCTGCGATGATGACCGCCACAGTACAGACGAAAAATCAGCATAGGTTCATCAGGGTCGCCGGACTGTGAGACTAGTACATTCCAACAGGCTTTATTCCATTTAAATCCTCATTCTTTTTCCGGTGAGGCTTTCTACGAATTCATTTTACCCATCTTTTCTTTCGAGACCGAATGTCATGTCACAACTATTAATGTATTATTACCAAATTCACCCAGTTTTGGAGACTCGTATTTCGCATGAAAGCGTCTGATAAAAAGATCCATAGGTTGATCTCACCGCAGGACGACGGTTGTTTCGCATTGTTTTTTGGCTGTTTTAACTTCAGAACTATATTCACGTTGACGCAGTCTGCAAGAAATCCTATCTCGTTTCGGATGAAAATGGGTTGGGCTCTTGTCCATCATATGACGGACATCCTCAGAGCAGGAACTCATTTCTACATAAATTTAAGTCAAAATTAAATAAGAAGGCACAAAAAGTAATTATAAAGACCAAGATGGTTTGGCACTTTGTTTGAGCGCAATGTTGTTTAGATGTATATTGTTGGTTTGACCTCGGAGCGTCAGGGAGATCTTATGGAACGTGCCTAGCCCTGTGTTCTCTGCCATAGTATTTATGATTTCCAGCATCGGACCATTGACATAGTACATTTAGCTGTCATCGTAGTCGGCATCGTTAGTCGGAGGTGCCATACTTTGCAGAAAGTTTCAACTTACCAAAGTGCTCAACTGTATAATAATATCACACTATTATTTTTAGTAATTGCCGACTTGTAAACGATTGATATGACCTTTTACCTCTAATTATCTCATCTGTATGCATGGATAGACGTTTTCCTTTGTCAAACTATCACAAGTAGAGTAAAGCAATAAAAAAAATTGGGAATGTACCAAGCCAACGTTCAGATGCTGGAAATCACCATGAATGCTACGGTACATGACACAGGACTAGGTACGTTCCACAAGTTCTCTTTCTCTGTCGTTCCGACAAAGTTGTGAAAACGAGATCCAACCACTACTAAGACTCAAGAAATTGTTTCACCCTAAACAAGGGAGGATGTCTAGTGCACTACGTCAAAGTGAATGTTGTATCAGAGACAAATGGCTGCAGAACAGCAGGAATCAGTCGACCGATGAGGCATTTAATCATGCACTTTAATAGGAAGTGATAGTTTCCACAACAATTTTATTCCAAGAGAATAGTTAAAACCCAGTTTTTCGTCCTATATAAAAAATGCCTTTATAAGTCCCTTTGGTAAATATAAATATAATCTAAGATCTACTGATAGTGTAGTAAAGCCTACTGACCGCAAATATAAGTAATGCGGTTGATTTTAACGCCAAAATGCAAGTTTGTCTATAAATGTGATATGTGACCGCCTGGCGCTTATGCCAATCTGGCGAGGTGGTAAATTAACAAAATAATACGCTGCACTACCACGTCCTGGATTCTAGTCCGACTGGGGGAGCTGATGAGACTCGGACCAGGTCAAGACTTCTGTCAAGTCCAGTTGGGATGAGAATACCGTTTGGGAAGCAAGGCTAAATTAATTTTACTGACAACATGAGGGAGGCCTACTCAATTATCAGTTGTTCATCATCTTTTACGACCTAAGGTCACAATAGCTCTTATTCAACACCTACAGACAGTCTAGAATCATAGTCACTGTGACTATGAGGCAAAGCTGACCTTCCGACCGACAATCTGCTCCGGGCCGCTGGTGCATCCTCTGTGGCCTGGCTTCACTCTACTGGCCAGCCTCGTGGATACATCGGGCGCACACGCAACGGCACACATGCGCATACGTACACT